CAATGCTCAAACCACTACACCACACTAGCTCACTATTACCCTGCCTGCCTGTATATCCTGACAAAATTCTTTTAAGCAGGGCTTGGCACCTTGGCACCTTCCGCATGGCGTTGAATGTTGAATGCCAGTTATTATGAACTCCAGCCACACAACATTGTGCAACACAATAAAAGTAGCATTTCATTAACCTCTGGTGGGTCTCTGGTTTAGCGTCCCTGCATTAGAAAGTATCCAAATCCAAAATAAAGCAATTTACTTATATTTAATGGGAGGAAAGAGCTAGTCCTATTTGAGCATTGCTGATATCACTGATGATTTCTTAGTTCTCACCTCTGCCCTCCCCATGGGTTGCACACCCAATAATGTTCCCAAACACCTCTTCATTGGAGTTGTTCACAAAAATTGTGACAGAAAGTCCAGGGCTAGTATTGGGGAGTTCTGGGAGGAGTTCTGTACGGGTATGTGGTGTTTTGCACATTTGGGGAGATTTCAACATAGTTGTCCAGCAAAAAAATTAAATAAAAATAAAAATGATGATTTAATTTTTTTCCTTTAAAAATGTGGAGGTTGAGTGTATAGAAGGGGTGGTGATGGTCAGAAGCTGGAAAATTGGGATTCAGGGAGATGCATTTTAAATGCCCTGTCTTAACATTGGATGGTCTTTAAGAATTTGGCAGATAGCTAAAGATCTTAATATATGAATGCTTTTGCTTGTTTTGTTTTGTCTGAATAAAACTGCAGACCAATTAACCTGTTTGATGAGAGCTGCTGCCTCCAGTCGGATTTTCTGACTGACCATTTCGTCTTGGAGCTGTTGCCAAAACTGCTGGATTCTGTCAGTCTTTCTCTGGATATCCTTCTGATTTGAAGGGCTTTTCTGACTCAACTCCCGACCCTTACAGATGATCTTGGAACAAATCAGTTGGTGGAAGTTGCACTCATCTTGTAGAGCCTGCCAGACAAAAGTCCCTTGGTTATGTCTAAATGCTGGTATGAAGTAACCTCTGGCAATATTCTTTTGATTTTTTTCCAGAATTTACCATTAATGTCATAGTTCTAAAGTTGCTCCTCTTGAAGTATTTAGTTACTGTTATAGTTGGATTTTGAAAGGAAAGGCTAATATTTTTCTTTTTGGTTTCTCAGAACAATTTTAAAAGGTCCTTCTGGTTATTTTTCAAAGAAAAATATTTGATTGCTAAAGGCCACTGTTATGGATACAAAACATACTCCCTTCTACCTTTTTATCATCTGAACAGCCACAACAGAATATGGGCCAGCGTTTTACCACAGCTTGGAAACATTATTTTTTGGACTACAGTTCTTAAACTCTGTCATCCAGCATAGCCAATGACCACTGGGAGATTCTGGAAGATGGAGTCCCAAAAAGTTATGCTTCCAAGGTCTGCTTGAACTACATGAAATTACTCCCCCTCTGTGCAGCGAAAGCATACACCTACAAGTACATAAATAAATTTCAAATGTACAAAGTAAAAAACATTAAAGTAAAAATCACGCTGCAAAATGAATAAAGCTTTTATTATGTTCCAGTGTTACAGGAAAATTAAAGTGAGAAATTACTGCCAGTGGCAATGATATCATTGACATACCAGAAAACAATAAGGAGGCAAGCTCCATGTGCTCTGGGATGGTCAACAGTTTATTCCTTTTAAAACAGCCCAGTGTGTTTTGGCCTGTATCAGAAAAGGCCTTCATCTGGATGACTTTATTACTGCTTCAACATGCTTTTTAGTACTCTTCACTACTCCAATATTATACTACCAATATTAGGCAATTAAAAAATAACTGTAATTATATTTAATTAGTTACTTCTGAACTTTCTAATTTCCTTTCTTCTCTCATTCACCATGTTAGTTTCTTAGTGATAACTTTATTATTATTTTCAATCATAGTCTATATTTCTCCCAAAGTGTTCAAAGTGGTGTAAATGACTTTCTTCCCAACAATCCTTTGAGTCAGTCAGTCAGTTAGTCAATGATTGGTCCAAGGTTATTCATTGAGTTTTATCAATGAGTGTGGAACTGAGTATGGATCTTGAAAATCCCAGTTCAACACTGTTACCATTACCACCAATACTGCACTGGTTCTCACAGTTTTGCTCATCACTCTGTTAGTACCAGTTCTCTAAATCTGTGGAAGTGATCAAGAACTCATGTATTACCAACCTTGTGGCTCTGGAGAGAGATCATAATATGACTGAGATCATGCCCTAAAATTCCTGTCTTCACCAGCTCCTTCTTATCCAATAGCCAACATTCCTCTTCCTTGCACTCATGGAAAAACTCAAAAATCTTCAAAGTATCTTCCAGCTGATGCTGACTAGTACAAAGGAACAAATAGATCATTTTGTAATGTCTATAGCTATAGACCCTTTTGTGTGTTTGTTAACAGTTCTAACACATTAGAACCTGGAATAAAGGTTAGAAAATAATTTTTTGAGCTACAGTTTCTATAATATCTCAAACAGTGTGGCTAAGAATTCTACATTTGCTTGTTAAAACTATGCATCTTCTTGGTTTTTTCTCTTACTTTTCCTTGAAGAATCTTACACATTTTGATTAATTTGAAACATCAGAGGTGTATGTATTAGCTCCACATCTGAGCCCAACAACCACTATTTCACCTTTTCTTTAATAGAAATCCTTCCTTTTCATTGCAATTATGCAGAGCAGGAGACAGAAAGAGACAGGTCACTATTTTGGCTCTTAAAACAAACAAAGAAGTACTTCATAACAAAAATAATTGCATAGTACAGAATATTTCTAACTTGACCAACTAAAAAGGAAATTATAAGAATGCAAGATATGATCCCACAGTATCCCATAAGGTGGCTAAATTTTGTTACATTGTTTGTAAATTGTGCCCTCAGCTGACAAATGGACATTTTATTACTGAGTAGAAAGATTTGTTTGGATACTGTACATATATAGTTTACTATTGGTTTATATTTTAATTTGTTATTGTTATGCTGATACGCTATTTGTGTGATTTTGTCTTTATACTGGTCAAAGACTGAATAAATTTTATTACTATTACTAAGAATGCAAGATGCTTTAAGCTGAGTCAGGTTATTGCTCCGTTAGCCCAAATAGTGCCAATACTGACCAGCAGTGATTTGTCAGGATTTCAGGAAGGTGTTTTTCCTAGCTCTTCCTAGCAAATCCAGGAAATGATTCTCCCCAGAGAAGACTGAGGATTTCTGAATGAAAAGCAAATGCTCTGCTACTGCGCTGTGACTCCTTGTTCGTTCTGTGGTCATGTACTAGAATTAATGACAGAAATTCTGATGCCTCCTTTACACTGCTAAACTCTCAAGTTGTACTTACTGTGCTGAGAAATATAAGGGGCTTTCAGGGGAACTGTCACACACATTCATCAGACAGAAGGACACAAGGTGAACTCTGCTGTATCAGTTGGAAAGCCTATCTAGACCAGCATTCTGCTCATATCCAGTTAGCCACAACAAATCCCTTTCACACTGGCATATAAACTACCAGACAGCATTGGTGAAAAAGACACCCCCACACACACAGCTGGATTTATATAGGCCTCCTCCATCTAGCTGGGAATATTAGATTCCTTGCCAATCAGGATTCCCAGTTAAATAGAGGATCCCTACATCTGCATAGCTGTGTGACCATCAGATGACAAGGATGACTTTATTACCGCTTCACAATTTCATTGAATGCATGAAGGAACTTATATAAGCATCCTTATAGTAATGTTGAAAGCACTGTGAAGGACAGTTTATACCTTTTTAAAAACAAAACAAAACAACAACAACAACAACAACAAAACAAAATAATCCATCAGTATTCTCAGAAAGAACTGAGTCACAAGGGGAAGAAATTTACCGTGTTTTGCAGAGATCCACTAAATTTTGATAGAACTGATGGAGCATCCGAAGTTTAGCTTGAAGCACATCAGATTTGGCCAGTCTACCTTTTATGGTCTCATCTGCTTTTTCATCAATATGCCTGATTGTCTTTCCAAGGGAAGAGACCTGGGAGGCAACCAATTTGTGCTTCTGCAATAGATTTACTGCTTCCAATAGCTCTTTACCACAATCCTGGGAACTCACTAGAATCTGAAAATTAAAATATATATATATAAAGAATGGATTTTTCCTTAACCACTTGCTTGAAAACAATTGCTGAGTATAGGTGACCATTTATCAGGCAGTTGCTTTCCTCAGTAATATCTTGTTAATCCAATTATCTCTCAAAACATGAGCTTTTTAAAAATCATAAATCCATACTTGATCAGAAATCTGAGGAAGAAAGGAAGGATGTGATGACATGCTGAAAACTAACCGACTTAGGGCCTTTGCAGACTGCCAGAAATAGTGCACATTAAATTGAGGCACTGCCCTGGCTCAGTGCTAGGGAATCATGGGAACTGTAATTTATTGTGGCACCAGAGCTCTCTGACAGAGAAGGCTCAATGTCTCAGAAAAAAATACAGTTCCCATGATTCCCTAGCACTGAGCCAGGGCAGTGCCTCAATTTAATGTGCACTATTTCTGGCAGTCTGCTTAGGCCTATAATGTTACAGATACCCAGTTTATCTAGTAGTTGTTCAGTATTATGCATCCAATGATCCAATATCTTCCAATATGAACCTACCAGAGTCTTAACGTCCTTGGGGGAGAACTTTCTCTCAGTTTCACCACCATCAGAAGTTTGTCCAGTGGGGACGTGGGAGAAAGCCTTCATGGCAGCTCCTCCCAGGCTATGGATTCTCTTCCTAGAGACATGAATCTGGCCCCCTCTCTGCTTTCCTTTAACAGGTAGGCAAGGACATTTTTATTGCAGCAGCTGTGTGTGTGTCTTATATGCCTTCAAGTTGTTTCCAATTTATGGCGACCCTAAGGCGAATCTATCATGGAGTTTTCTTGGCAAGAGTTGTTCAGAGGATGTTTGCCATTGCCTTCCCTGAGGCTGAGGGCATGTGACTTTCTCAAGGCCATCCAATGGGTTTGATGGTCAATCTGGAAATCAAACCCTGGTCTCCAGAGTCATAGTCCAGCACTCAAACCACTATGCCAAGCTTGCTCTATTCAGACATCCATTTGATGATTAATTGGTTGTAGAGAGTCTTTTTTACAGGGCATGTGTGTTATATTTTTAACTTTGAGATGTTTTTAAATGATTTTACGCTTTTTAAATTTAATTTTTTAAATATAATTTTAATTTTGTGTAAACTTTTGTATTATCAAGTTTTTAGCTTTATCTTGATGGCAAAAAGAGGCTGCAGGAGTTGGCTTTTCCCTGAGTCTGCTGGATAGGGCAAGATGCCACCCATTCCCATCCTCAGTTCTCCTCTTTGCCCTGCTGAGTTGACTGAGAACACATTACTTTGCACTTTGAACTCAGTTTGCAGCAATTGACATAAGATGAGAAGAAAAGAGGAAAGTGGGAGCAGGAGAAAGAAACTGGGACATTTTAAAAGCAGCTACAAAACTGGGATGATGGAGGATTGATTACTCTGGACTGTCCCTGCCAAATCAAGAGTTGGAGGGTATGGTAGTGATTAGCCCATTGGTGAATTTTTCAGATATGGTGTATCCATATTCTAGACTGCTGAGAAATCACACTTTTTCATCTGGATCTTCCCACCAAATCCCATAATGTAGAACCAAATGTGTTGTAGTAAAGGAATGAAATAATTTTATCATGGAATCTCCTGGCGGTGAAATCATCAGAACCCATGCAAATCTTTGCCACATATTAAATCTTGGTAAAATTAAATACTGTACACTTAAGCCTGCATACATGACATATATACAAAATTATCTTGATTCACATTGGGGCTTACAGGAAACAATTCTTTAAACCAAATGTTGGTGTACAAAACCTGAAAGAAACCAAACTGATTGGGCAACAGAGATATACAAAAGCCATTAAATTAAATCTAAACATTTTTACCAGTTCCTCTGCAGAACTCAAAAACATTCTTTTATTTGCCACTAGAATAACAACTTTTTACAAAATGGTTTTACACATAAATCAATGTACACTGCTATTTCTGGACCCCCAAACATATGAATTTTTGGCCACAAGATATCAATGTCAGTCCTTAGTTTTCACTAAAATTACATGCCTACTAACATTTGCTTGAAGAATGCATAAAGTAAAATACCTGCAACCCTTTAAGTTCCTCCATAATGGTATTGATGTTTCCTAGGAGGACCAGAACTTCCTGCATGTCTCCTATTAAGTGTCTCTGTCTTTTGAGCTGGTTCAAAAGATCCTGCCATTGCTGTGCAATGTCTTTTTGCCTGGCCATGAAAAGATGGGGAAAAATGATACACTGTAAAATTGAACAGAATTACACATAAACAACATAGGAAATGCACCAAAAATGTAATCCTTTGTTACTTACTCCATTGCCTTATAGAGTTCTAATTACTCCATGTCCAGACACCATTAACACATATGTTTCCATAAAACCTTCTCTGTACCTGAGCTGATGAAAGGACCACAATCTTTGGACTACAATTCCCACAATTTCCTAGTCAGCATGACCAGTAGACAGCCAGCATGACCATGCCCAGTGGGCATGCTAGATGGGGATTCTGGGAATTTGGGTCCAAAAATAGCTTGCCCAAGCTGCACATTATTAGTTGACACTGGCAAAGGTACATAAAAGTATAGGAATCATGAACAAGGCTGGATATTATGGAAGTTTCAGCGGCAGCCCTGAATTCTCTACAAGGATGGAAAGAATATTCAAAATTGTTTGGAAAACTGTTGAAAACCATGGTTTTTGAGTGTCAAGAAACTGTGATAAGAAGAATCCTAGACTGATAAGAATCATCACAGAAAATGATAAATCTAGAAAGAAGTATTTTTTTTGCCCAGATCCTGTACTGAAAATGCCATTATTTGGCACTTCTGCACAAAATTCACATATGATCCCGTGCTGAAAATGCTGTCATTTGGGACTTCTAAATAACATTCACATGAGTGATTTACATAGAGAGCAGCATTTTCTGTGAAGGAATCAGCATTTTCTGCATAGAAAGTAATATTTTTATGCAAGAATATCATACATTTTTTTGCACAGAAAATGCTATTGCCTGTGAAAAACATCCAGGTGTAAATTTTGCAGAGAATCTGTCCTGAATTGTAAATAGGTGCTGAAAACTACTTGTTTTTGGTGACTTTCTTGCTGCTGGAAGAAAATTGCTTAAAATTACTTGTGGCTTCCCTTAAGCAGAAACAGTGAAGAATTACGTCCCTAGTTCTCTGTGACCGCTTCAGGTGCCACATGAAAAAACTGACAATACACCAATGGAACATGGTAGAAAATACAGCACCCAATGAAGGTGGGGATTATTAAAGGGCCTCCTACAAAGGAGATTGCCCAACATTACCAATAAAAAAATTCTTGAACTGTAGCAGAAACCCTGCATCAGGCAGATTATATTAAGAAGCTTCAGGCATTTTTCTGAAGTTTTTCTTTGAAATTTGCTGAGAACTTTGTTTTGTTGGATTTTTATCTGGCTGTTATTCATCCTCTGTATAAATTCAAATGACCATTGGCTTGATGCAAATGAAATTTGACTTGATTTCTCTCTTTCTGTGGTTCATTAAATCCTTTTAATCTGAAATGCATAACTAATATTTATAAAATCGAAAAGAGTTCTTCTCAGGTGCTCTTATCTGCTATATGTCTGTGTTCTTATTCTGACAAATAGGAAGAACATCAGGCATCACTTTCCAACTTACATTTTTGCAATCTGGATCTTATCATGGTAGTTCTCCTCTCTAATTTCTGATGCCATCTTAGAGAGTGCTTTGAAGCGTTGGCTTCGGGAAAGCATATCTCCTGCAATAGCCTCAAGCCTCCGTGTGGCTGCCTCAAGTTCTTCCATACTATCAGGTCGCCATTCCTCCTGCTTCTTCATGATCTCCCTCATGTCCTCCAAATAGGCCACACGAATGGCAGCTTTCTTCAGAAATCTCTGGACTAGTTGTTCAACCCTCTCAAGTCTCAATAGCTCCTGCTGTATTGCTTTTCCTCTGTTGTGCTCTGCCTTCTCCAAAATGACCCATTCCTTTTCCAAATCTCTTAGTGTCCTCCCTTCAGGGGGCAGATAAGCACGCTGGTTGCTGGCTCTCTGTTTGGTTCTGATGTGGAAGAAATTGGCTTCAATTATCCCCTTCTCCCGGTACTTGGGAGGCTTCTCCACAGTGCGGAAGATCTTAAAGTTTCCCATAAGAAGACGCATTTCTTCTAGGGTATTGGGAAATGAGTGATCGTCCAGTTCCCTTATTTTGACTTTTATCCATTTCAAGAGGTCAGAGACCATTTGTTCATACTGGGACTTCAAGTCATCTGTCTCCTTCAGGAAGAACACAATCTGTGGGAACAAAAATAATGAAATCTTTCCTTCATATAATCCAACCAAATTTTAATTATTGACTTCAGTGAAATCAGGCTTTCATAGATGATAAATGGCATTTACATGTGAGATTGTGAATTCAACACAATTTTCCTGTCCTGAAAGGAAAAACTGCATCCCACTATTTGTATCAGAGCCACAGCAGAGGAAGACAGGAGGTTTGTTTTTCTTTCCCCATGGGTCTGATCCAATAATTCTTCTTGTATTATCCACGAAGAAGAAAACTGGCAAATTTTCTCAGATCCATAGAATCCGGAGCATTATTCTCCCAACCATTTCAAACATACATTTTTTTTATTGTGTAGAAAGGACAATTTTACCTTCCATTCAATCATATATTTTTGTTGATTCATTAAAAAACCTTTTGTTACCACCTATCAGAACTATACTAGCATGTTAAGTAATCAGATGTATGTGCCAAATGGTTCTCTTCATTCATTCTTTGTCCTCACGATTAGCTGTGCAGCTTGTGCTCATGATAGACTAGTCATCTCAGGGGTGACCATCTCAAATCCACTCATAATAATAAAAAAAAGCTGTGTGAATGACACAGACTAGGGACATCTGGAAATCTAGATATTCAAGTGAACCATCTAGAAATCAATTTACGGTACAATTGTTGAACTTGGATATATTTCAATCTAAAATTTCATCATTTCAAAATACTTGTATGTTAATCAGTTCTGAATCTGGTAGCTTGACTTAAATATATAGGAACCAGTCATCTCAAAAGGCTAGTATAGATTTTAAACACACACACACACACACACACACACGATTCATTTATGTTACTTTAAACAAGCTGATATTTTAAGATATAATAGGGAAAGAGGACATAACTAGCTTAGAAAGTTGCTGTTAGCAAGCAGTTAGTTACAGTTGCAATTAAAATATTCCCCAAGTAGCAAGATACAGATATCTTGCAATTTTAAAAGTATCTCTTTACTTTATTATTCTCAAGCAACTAAGATATTACTCTTTAATTACTTTTTTAAAAAATGCTACAAGCTATTGGCCTAAACACTAAGGCTATGCACTTCCCCTTTATTATTAACAGTTACAGTTAATAGTTAGACTGAATTATTTCAGTATAATTAGCAATTAAAATAATTAAAAATTAAATTGAAAAAGCGAAATAATCTCTCATCACATTACAGCCATATTGAATTAGTGGAAAATTATTCTAAAAGGAATAATTGCAAGCAATTCATACTTTTGCCATTTAGAAATGTGATCTGCAAATTTCTTACCAAACAAAGGTTACCATGCCCTAATGATGTTCCTCTGCTATTCAACTGCTGAGTATTTCCACCTAAACAAACATGTGCAAATATATTCAGGTTCCACAGTTTGTGGTTTTCTACTGATATTTAAAGGCCACAGCTTTCCTAAAGATCCTTGAGTCATTCATTTAAATGGAGAATTAAGTGCCACAATTCTGAACATAAACTTTAGGGTGCTTTATAGGATGGACAAATTTATCAGTTATACTGTTTGCCACAATGGGCTATTGCAAATTTTGGTAAATTCTGACAAACCTAACTCTAACCCTGAACTGAAATTCTCCCTCATCCTTAATTCTTGCTTTCTTTAATTAACATTCATAGTCCCAATGAGAAAATGGTGCAAAGACTGTAGGAGGAG